CACTAGACTTATAGGTATAACAGATAGGTTGTTACTGTCTTCTGTGATCCCACCCAAAAAATAAAAAAAAAGTCTCAGGCGTGCCACTTTCACCTGTGCTAAACTTATTTGTTAGAATCAATTCCCAAGAGAAGGATATTCAGGACAGATGAGGCCCAGAAATCAGGATTTTAAAATGATTCCCAGGTGATTCTAATGTGCAGCCAAGGTTGAGAACCACTGCTGTAGAGCCTGGATTCCTAACTCTGACCATGCCCTTTGCCTCTCCCTCTAGAAGCCTCAGTCATGCATTTTTGTTAAATGCACATTATATGTGGCCCTGGGTTAGTGATGGGCTGGGCTGGGCATGTCCCGTGGTTCTACACAGATACCTAAAACCAGGCCCCTGCTGCCTGCACTTGGCAATCTCTGACAGGTAATGCAAGCACACAGGCAGGAAGTGGTCAGGCACCTCAGAGAGGGCAAGCCCAGGGCTCTCTGACTGTTCACAGGAGGGGACGTTTCTGGAAGATTCCTGGAGAAGTGAGCCTGGAAGGATGGAGGGGGTTGGTGACGGACTTGGGGAGGAAGGGTGTCGTGGTGAAGTGAATAGTATGGGCAAAGTCAGGAGGTGGGAACATGGAGGTACCAACTGGAGAATGGAGGGGCCCTTTACCCAAAGGAGGGTGAGATATTTCTGGGCTTTTCTCACATCCTGGCCAGATGCTGTCACTTCCATCATCTATTTAATATATTAGATATTATTCTACGTTAAATATTTATATCAGTTTGCCATCTTCCCTTAACCATGCAGGGATTATACTCAGTCTGCATTGAGTTTGGGGGTATGCTAGGCTACCCTCTCTGCCCCCCTAAAAAGATGAGTTTTCCTCCTGATGACTGCCCAGCTTTCCTTTCTGTGCCCTTCCCGTCCTGTGTCCCTCTGTTCCCATTCCTGTCTGGCCTGGTCTCCCGCCTCTGTGTCCACCACCCTAACACTCCATGCCTGTCCCTTTGCTTTCTTCTTCCTCTGGGGATTTGGGGCCAGGATTCTCCTCTGTCCAAATTCCCTGCCCCTGGAGCAGGCCTCCCAGGTGCCAGCATTTCCCGAGGGACCTTCTGATCCCTGTCAAATACTAGGAGACACCCTCACAGTGACACTTTCTGGCAGGTGAGCCAGAGGCAGGCAGGCCGTGAAGGAGTCTGGGAAGCAGCAACCTGCCCATCCATGCCCCTGGCCCCCGGGGGCCCCGGAGAAGAGCCCCAGTCTTCTCTCCAGCCGGCTGGGCTCCTCACCTGTCCGCATTCAGGGCCTGGCTGCCTGTTCCTGGTTTGAGCAGACTTTCTGCAAAGTTCACCCTCCCACTGGCCTCCAGCGTTCCCCGCCCCTCACATGCCCAGGGCTTTCCGCCAAGTCCCACAATGCATAGGCGTGAGAGGAGGGTTGACTCTCCAATCTCTCAAGTCTCCTGAAAACGGACCCCTTCTCTGTGGGGAGACCAGCCCCAGAGCAGCCAGCCCTCAGGGACCTAAGATAAGTGGCCGAGGCACCTGTCTGTCCCAGGGTAGCCTGGAGCCCGAGGCCTTCCGCCTCTGACAGGGGGCCTGGCTGAGGGCTAGGAAGGCCCGGAAGCAGAAGAGCACGTTCTAGCTTCCTTCAGTCCTGGATTCTCAGCTCTGTCTTCAGGAACTTTGGATTTAGTTCTCCCTCCCCCATGCCAAGATGAGAGCTCTTGGGAACCCATTCTTGTGGCAGGAGGCCTCCCTTTGATGACCGTGTCAGATGAGATGGAAACTGGCCAGGTTGTTATAGGAACTCGGAAGAATCCCTGGAGTGGGAAAATAATGAGAACACGGGGCCATTCACCATTCAGCGGCGGAAAGTGGAGCACTCATTGTCTGAGGGCAGAAGCTGCGGCCCAGAGAGGAAGCGGGCTTGGGGTGGGGGGCTTGCTGCAGCACTAGGAGGCTTTGAGGGTGGTGGGGGGACAGAGGAAGGGTCTGACCAAACTGCTCACTTTCTATCTGTATGACTTTAAACAAGTTAAAACAGCAATCAACACAAAAAACAAATGTATGAGACTGGAAGGAATATCACCCTACTTTTGCGGCAGTTATCTCAGTGGTATGTTTACAGGTGATTTAAAATTATTTTTGTGCTTTTTCTGTGTGTGTGTGTGTGTGTGTGTGTGTGTGTGCGCGCGTGCGTGTTTTCTCCTGGCATTTTCTCTATAAACAGCAGGAATTAACTGAAAGGGGAACCCTGAAAACACAACGCCATCTCCAGTTTGGAAGCACAGCTTCTGGGCGGGCTCTCTGGAGTTTTGGAATTGATGTGCATGTATTTGAAAGGGCAGGGACAGTACTTGCCAGCAGTCAGGCTGCCCCCCAGCAAGTTTTCCTGGCCCTGATGCCCTGGGTTAGACCAGCACGGGCCTCGGGTACCTCACACACAGGCCTGATGGGTCGGGGTGTCCCGAGGGGCAGTCATTCCCATTGTTACAGTACAGGAGGTGGCTGTCCGTTTTTCATCCTGTGAGGCCACCCTTGTCAGCTGGCTCAGCAAACGCGCTGTCTGCTCCACTGGGTGCCCTTCCTGGTGCTGCCTCCTCCTTTAGACCAACGAATGGGCTTATGTTGCGGTTTCGGCACTCCGGTTTCCGGCCAGCCTTGTCCCTCCTCTGTCAAAAGGGGAATGGTGCACTGCCAGCGTGGCTCAGTGATGAGCGTTGACCTATGAACCAGGAGGTCACGGTTCCATTCCTAGTCAGGGCACATGCCTGGGTTGTAGGCTCCATCTCCAGTAGGGGGTGTGCAGGAGGCAGCAGATCAATGATTCTCTCTCATCATTGATGCCTCTCTCTCCCCCTCTCTCTTCCTCTCTGAAACCAATAAGATGTATTTTTTTAAAAAGGAAGGGAATGGTGGCTTCACTTGATTTTTTTTGCCCAAGCTGGGCATCCCTGGTGGCTGGGTCCCTCACCTGACTTTGACATAGGCTACCTTCTATCACTGTTGTCTATTACTAATTTTTTGAGGTGCAACATACATGCAGTAAAATGCACATATCCTAAGTTTATTGCTTAATGGATTTCAACATATATTTAAACCCATGTAACCACCACTTAGATCAGACATTTCCATTTCCATTACCCTGGAGGGTTCCCTCATGTCCTTTCCAAGTCAGTATCCCCTAAAGGTAACACTCTAATGACCTCCACCACCATAGGTGAGTTTTGACGTTTTTTTAAACTTTATACACTATACTCATTTGCATCACACTTATTTTGCTTCTCATGCATATTAGCTGTCCATTGCTATGTAAAGCATCACCCCCAAAATATAGTGGCTAAAACAACAACAGTCAATTATTTTGCTCACCGATCCTCAATTTGGGCAGGGCTAAGAGGGGATGGTTTGTCTCTGCTCCATGCAGCATCAGCTGGGCAGCGTGACAGGGGGACGGAAGGTCCTTTCCAAGGTGACTCACTTGCATGGTGAGCAAGCTGGTGCTGCTGACCATCAGCTGGTGGTTCAGCTGGAGCTGTGGGCCAGGCCCTCAGTTGCTCTGCATGTGGTTGTCTATATGGGGTGCTTGGGCTTCCTTACAATATGGCAGCTGAGTTCCAAGAGAGCAACCATCCCAAGAAAACAAGGTGGAGGTGCAAGGCATTTTTATGGCCTAACCTCAAACTCTATTTGTTGAGGCAGCCATGAAAATCTTTCCTGGATCAAGGTTCGGGGGCATAGAGGATGTGAGAAGGTTCTAGAAGAGCATGGGGAATGGGAGATATGGGGGTAGCCATTTTTGGAAAACACATTTGGCTATATTAAGTTTGTCAGATTCATCCACGTTGTAATATATATTTGTAATTTGCTTTTTTTGTTGTATAATATTTCACTGTGTACATAGACTACAATTTAGTTTATTCAGTCTATTATTGACATTTGAATTTTTTATAGTTTTGGGCTATTTATTTTTATTTTTTTTAATATATTTTATTGATTTTTTACAGAGAGGAAGGGAGAGAAATAGAGAGTTAGAAACATCGATGAGAGAGAAACATCGATCAGCCGCCTCCCGCACATCTCCCACTGGGGATGTGCCCGCAACCAAGGCACATGCCCCTGACCGGAATCAAACCCGGGACCTTTCAGTCTGCAGGCCGACACTCTACTGAGCCAAACCGGTTTCGGCAGTTTTGGGCTATTTAAATAGTGCTCCTGTGATTATACTTATACAGATGTTTTGGTGGACAGAGGTGGCCATCTATCAGGGTTGCTGTCTCTTTAGCTTTTAAGATTTTAAAAATCATGCAATTCTTATCCTCTTTTATTTTCTCTCTTTCCCCATCAGTTACTGTAGCCATATGCCCTTTAGTATGTAAATCTCTGCTAGTGTTTTTAAAATCTTGAAAAGAAATTATAGCAGTAATACATAAATATGTTTTCTTTATAAAAACTTTCAGTATTGCAATTAAGATTAAAGTTCCTTATGACACTCCTTGCCAAGTCGGGCCCTTTCCTCCCACCCCAAGATAACACTTGTCACCAGTTTGGGGTGGTCTCATCTAGAGCTTTTTTGGATGCATTTACACACATAAATATTCCCATAGAAAATACTGTTTTCTGTGTGTGTGTGTGTGTGTGTGTGTGTGTGTGTGTGTGTGTTTTGTTTGGTACAATGCATGGTATCATATGGCTCTGCAGTTCGCTTTCTCACTCAAAAAATATCTTGGAGTTATGGCCATAGAATCGCATGTAGATCTACTTCGCTTTTTAAACTGCCGAATAACGTTTCATAGTATATGCTAGCACTGCCATTTGGCCATTTTCCTATGAAAGGACGTTTAGGTTGTATCCATCCTTGTTGGGCAGCGTGTGCCCGCTGAACTGGAGGGCAGGCCTGGTACACCGTGATATTGTCAGTACTCGATCAACACAGATGCATTCCGTAATGGGAAAGAGTTTCTGGAGCCCTGGGTCTGTGCCCCTCAATGTCCGCTCTCTCTTCCCTGCAGAGACGTCTCCGAGAGGCCGTGCAGCTGCTGGAGGACTATAAGCATGGGACTCTGCGCCCCGGGGTCACCAATGAACAGGTAACTCTGGTGGAGGTGGGGAAGCAGGGAAGTCATAAATTCCCAACCTTTCCCTGCAGCCAGACCACTCCTTTTTCCTTCAGTACCTACTTCCACTGCGACTACATACCCCTGTGGGTCTCTGGCTTTTGGAGGACATACTCAGGTCTCGCCAGCACCCTGAGTCTGGTGGGAAGCATGGTGGCTGGTGAGGCTAGAGAGGCCCAAAGGCAGTGGTTTGCTGGAGCTGACGTGTGTGCCTCTTCCCACTTCCACAGTCAGTGACATCATGGTGATAGCTTGAAATCAGCCACGATGGCAATACTTACACCACAGAAATTGGCAAATGCTATAAATTAGGACTCTTTCCCCCTAAGAATTGATTAGTAATTACTTACCAGCATACTACTCCCCAAAAGTTCAAGTTGAGGGTGGGAAAGGGGTGCGGATGGTGGGGATTAGGCTAGGACACTGTAATTTTTTTAATTTTAATTTATCTTTATTGTTGGAAGTATTACAGATGTCCCTGCTTTTCTACCACTGTCCCCCTAATTTTTTTAATAGTATGTAGGAACTTGAACTAGAGCTAATTGAAATATTGATGGTTGTGTTTTGTTTGGGGGAGGAGTTGAGGGACGTAGTATAAGGCAACTTTAATGATACAGAGAATGATAGTTAATGTATTGAAGTCATTTTTTTTATTCATAAACTTTATTTCAAAAACTTAAAAAATTAATTTCACATTTTTTAAAAGTAATGTGTGTGTATAGTTCAAAAAGTCAAATAGTACTAAAACATTTGTAAGGAAAAATAGTATGCTGCCCATCATCCCCCTTCAGTTCCCATTCCTTTTCCCCAGAAGCAAATACTTTTACCTGTCTCTTCAGATAGAAATCTATATTTCAAACTTACATGTTTATCTATACTGCTATTTCTCAACTAATTCTTTTGTGTTATCTGTTATGGTAGTTGAGAATCCAGCTCTTATATCCAACCCCATAAACATGCTTCTCTCCCCAACTCTTCTCATCATCCCAAGATAGTTATCATGGTTTGGGGGTCTATGGCTGTTGAGAATTCACATCATAATTTTATTTCACATCATTATAAATAACATTTACTGTAGAGTCAAGTTGGTTGTATCATGACTGGGTTTTCTGTTTTTAAACTTTATGTTTTATCTGCAGTTAATGGTTGCCTCTTTTTTCCTTATAAGCATAGTTTTCTTTGTCCCATCTCTAATTCTCACTACACCCTCTAGGGGGATGTTCAGTGCCTCCTTTCAATCCTGAAGACTCCAGCTCTCCAGTTCTGTTTTTCCCTTGGACATGTCCTTCCTGGGGCCCACCCCCCTCCAGCTCCAGGCCTTCCTTTTGGTGTTTGTACACTTCCATTTTGGTGGAATAACTCTTCCAGTAGCTTTCTGGAAAAAAAATTAAATGGGAAGAAAATTTTGAGTACTTTTATTTCTGAAAAATTGTGACTCTGCACTCAGCCTTAATTGACAGTTTGGCTGAGGAGAAAATTCTAGTATGACAATCATTCTCCTTCAGAATTTTGAAGACATTACTTAGTTGTCTTCCAGCTTCCAGGATAGCGGTTGAAAAATCCATGCTGTTTTATTCCCGATTCTTTGCAAGTGACCTCTTTTCACTCCTTGGGATGTTTAGGGCCTTCTCTTTATCTATACAATTTATTTCTGAAATTCCACAGTGCCTCTTTTTTAAAATTCATGATTCAGGATTCTTGGTGACTCCTTTCAGTCTGAATACTCCTCTCTTTCAGTTCTGGCAAATTTTCTCAGCCTGTTTATTTAATAATTTCTTCTCATTCTGAAACTCCTATCAGCAAATATTCACATCTTAGATAAACACTCAGAATTCAATTTCTGTGAGCTCTTTGACTGGTTTTATTTATTTATTTATAGATATATATATTTTTTTATTTCAGAGAGGAAGGGAGAGGGAGAGAGAGATAGAAACATCAATGATGAGAGAGACTCATCAATCTGCTGCCTCCCGCACGTCCTCCACTGGGGATCGTGCCCGCAACCCAGGCATGTGCCCTGAACGGGAATCGAACTGTGACCTCTGAGTTCATAGGTCGATGCTCAACCACTGAGCCACGCCGGCTGGGCTATTTATTTATTTTTTAATAGAATCCTCTTCCTGTTTTGTGAATACAGTGTTATCTCATGACTCCAAATTCTGAGAGCCACGGAAGGGAAGGAGGCTGGGGTCCCAAAACTCTCTGCAGACTTCCACTAATCTTCCTGCATTAAGCCTCACCTACTCCCACCTTCCACTGTGCTAGTGTCCCCAACTTTGGAGTCACTATACTTCAGTTTCTCCAGAAGGCTGGTAGCCTTCAGCATCTGCTAGGGATGCAGGTGGGGGTGGTAAGAGTCACCTTGCTGTGCGGCGAAGGTCTGGGTTATTACAGCTTTGAGGACAGACTTTCGATCGATCCTTGTGATTAGCCCCTTTTTCCTGTGGCCCCTGGTCCCTTTGAGTTCTTAGCTTTGGGGTGATGGCTGGCTCCTTAGGCATGCCCTCTTCAGGCATTAAGGGGATGTATTCCTCCTCTCTGCTGGGTCAGTTACTGAAACTCTACTCAGCTTCCATCCAAACACATGTTGCTGTCCCTCCTCTGCTGCTGTCTCCTCTTCCGTTATTTTGCTAATGATGTGCGCACTGCCCCTCCTTCCTCTAACACCTTCAGGCGCAAAGCCCACGCTGAGGCTCCGTGCTGCCACCCGACACACCAGTGCCTGGCAGGGTGTCCCGGGGGCAGGCGGCTTGGCCATCAGCCCTCCCATTCCAGTGCACTTCAGTGCGTCTTTAGGGAGCACCTACAGGTCAGGCTTGGTGCCAGGGCCTGGGGGACAGACCAGGGAAGATGCTGGAGCAGGGTCTTGCTTCATGGACTCCCCAGAATCTAGGCAACAACAGTGAAAACACGATACTGTGGGAGAGCAGAGGAAGGAGGGACCCAGACGGGCTTCTGGAAGAGATTTCTGTCCGGGGGTTGGGGGATGAGAAGGGGCGGTGGAGAGAAGGCGCCGATAGGAAGCAGTGCAGATAAGGGAGCACACGGTGAACACGGGGAGAGCAGCGCCTGAGGAAGTGGCGGATGTGCTCCACCGGCCCAGCTCCGAAGGGCATGTGCATGGCGGACGCAGCACCTTGGCCAGGTGTCCTTGTGCAGGGCTGTGAGGGTGGCCGAGACGGTGCAGTGCTTGGCTGGGCGGGGCAACCTCAGGCATCTGAGCTGAGTTGGGGGCTGCAGTCAGCAGGGAGGGCAGGCCTCCATCTCCTCATTCCTAGCCCAGAACTTCTTTCCGGCCATGGGTCCCGGGGAGCCTGGTGGCATGTCCTGGCAGCTCCTCTCCAGTCCTGGGCCTCCTTGTTTTCTGTCCTGAAAGCCTCCATGTACCTCCAGGGATGGGGCAGGGGAGGCGGGGGCTTCTGGCACCGGCTTTGCTTCCCTTTCTGGCTCATGTCGGTGAGGCCTGCAGTGTCCCTCTGCTGGCTCGCTGGCCCAGCGCTCCACTGGTGGACCTGCCCCCAATAAGCAGATCCTCCCTCTCCCTTCCTTCCCATCCTCCCAGGGCATCGGGACTGGGCTCTGGGGCAGCCCTCCCTGGACCTCCGTTTGCAAAGCCATACTTGCCTCTGGCCTCTATAGACACAGGAATGGAGGGGACAGGTGATGACATTTCAGCTCAGGATTTGGGCAAACCTCAGCAATCTGGGATGAAGGACAGTCCTGTTCCTGGTCCTGGCTGGCCCTGCTCAAGGGTCACTTCTGTGGCCTCTGAGAGGCCCAGGTGGTTCTTCATCTCAGTCTGGACAGTGGCCTCATCTGCTCCCAGGCACTGGGCCTGCTCTGATGTCCTTCTGCCGGCGTGAGGGTCAGAAGCCTGTGCCTATGTCCTGATACCTGCGGGCCTGTCCTGATGGCACGGACAGCACTGGGCACCTGCGTGCCAGCTTGTTATGTAATCTGCCCTCCAGTTACAGCATCTTACCAGTGGGCATACCCTGGTAGATGGACGGTTTGTTCGCACCCGATGGGCCTTACCTTGGTTGTCTGTTAGTGAGGGTTGGTATCTCCTCCCAAGACTGTAAACTTGTTTTTTTTAATCCTCACCTGAGTATATATGAGTGTGTTTTTTAAAAGTGATTTTAGAGAGAGAGGAAGGGAAAGAGAGAGAGAGAGAGAGAAACATGGATATGAGAGAAACAGTGATCAGTTGCTTTCCGTACGTGCCTGGACCAGAATCAAACCAGCAACCTAGGTATGTGTGCCGACCGGGAATCGAACCCACAACCTTTTGGTGTATGGGATGTCACTCCAACCAATTGAGCTACCCGGCCAGGGTGACTGTTAACTTGTTAAAAGTTTGCTACACCATGAATAATTAGTCCTGGGGATAAAAATAATTATAATTTACCCTTTGGGCTTAACAGGTGGAAATTTGGTATGCCAGGAGCCCTAATAAGGACTGTAGCTATCACTTAAACAACGAAGCCATAGATGAGAGCGACAACGTAAGTACAGGCAGTGAGGTTTGTGGGGCACGGCCCTGCTGTGTGCACTTTATGTGCTGGGTGGTTTGACATGGATGCAGATGGGTGTGGTTAAATATGGAAGGACATCCCCCCTACCACCACCACCATGGTAATGAGCCAACACTCACTGCGTGCCAACCAAGTGCTAGGCACCATGTCAAGTACTAGCACTTGACATCTATTACCTCCATTAGTCTTTACAGGAACCCTGCTTGGTGGGTACCTATATTAACTCCATTTTGCAGGCAAGAAAACGGAGGCTCAGAGAGGTTGAATTACTTACTTGAGGTCACACAGCCAGTCTGTGGCAGGACAGGGATCTGACACTGGGCCTGGGAGGCCCAATGCCTGTCTCTCCCACTGTCTGCAGTGGCTTTGGAAGGGAAGGCTCTCTGTGGAGCAGAATAGTGTACACAAACATGGGGCAGAGGAGTGAAGGGGGTTGTG